CGAACAAGCTTAATTTCAACACTCGGCTGAATTTGCATATTATTTTAATTGAGTGCTTTTCAAATTTGACAGGCAGGTGAGGCAGCATCCGTTTGGTACAATAAGTGGAGTGCATTTCCGACTTCTATTTGTAATTTATATGGCAATTTTATAGCTCTAAGCGCCAAATGGCTTCATGAATTATGTGAGCATAAAATTTGCCCCAACCTACATGGATTTGTATTTTAATTTATTGCGCACCTCACTCGGCCTCACTCGGCGTATTTTATGCCAGGTGTCTGTGCTACATTAGTCAATATGCATAATTCGATTTTTGATTTTTTTATTATTTTTCTTTTATTTTCTGAGTTTGCCTGCTGGCAATCTGCTTCTAATAAAGTCTAGTACCAGGGCTGCAAGCTCTGAAAACGATTCAAGCTAAAAATCTTGAATTGAGTTATTTTGAGAAAGCAACGAAATATATGGAATTTCGTTTTCGGCCCAATTTTTCGCGTTCTTTACTTCGACTCCCTCCCTTTTTAATTTAACTTGATATGATCCAGTTCAATCTAAGTCTCGGCTAAGCCGTATCCAACTGTCCCGGTTTATGGTTTAGTTCATGGCCAAAAAAAAAAAAACATAATAAATTAATAATAATAATAATAATCAAATTTTTCGTTATTTTCTTGGATTCCGTCTTTTTTAATCAAACAGTTTCTTGATATGAACCAGTTCAGGCTAAGTTTCGACTGAACCTTATCCAACAGTTCCGGTTCATGGAATGAAATTAATAATTAATAATTATTATTCCAACCTTAAACTGGTTCATTCAAAACAAATTTGCTGGCTTTATAAATATATAAGCACACTTTTTGGGTTCATGCTAAGCAGGCATTGCAATTTATGGAATCTATTTAGTTAAGGAATAGAAAATTCCTCAGCCTTAGATACTTATTTGTTATGCATAATTTGTAAATCGAATGTTACGCATACGCCATGTTAGACCATGTGTTGCCAACATATTGAAAGGCAAGCACAATTTGTTCAAATCTCGTAATATTTTCGACATTCAATTTCACAGCTCGCTGCAAAGCTGAAAATGAACTCGAACTTTTACAGGAGGTGGGACGACATCATCACATGTCAATCTCGGTGTGCGTGTTTATTATGTTTGCTAAGCTCGGTAACCTTTTTCACAAGGCTTGTTTATTTTGTCATGATTTTAAATATGCGCCAAAAAAATGTCAGAAAGTATTTGTTGGCCCTAATATATGCAAAAGACGTTGGCATGGAACTCCTTTGGGACAGGTATCCCGGCTCCAGCCTGACATTTAATGGTTTTTCAATAGGAACCTCAGCTCTGCGGCTTGCCGTTCATTCGATTTTATTTAAATTTTAATTTAGGCTTTTGTTTCATGTTTTAGACAGAAAAGTTACTGTGTTTCTTTGAAATTAAACAGTTTAATTGCATTAAAGTTAAATCAAATGCGCGTGCAAAAGTTTTACGCACAACCGAAATCAAATCGCGCAACTCAACCATGGCAAAGCCTTCAATTGGAGCAGCTCGATGGGCCGGGGAGGCAGGCAGACTTGGGAGCTATTGGCTCTATTTTGCTCGAGTCTCGTTATACCCTTGCAGAGGATATTATAGTTTTGTCGTGAAATGTACAATGCATAGAAGGTGACATCTACGATCCCTGAGTTCTTTGTTTTTCAAGATATTTTGACGAAACTGGCCAATTACTGGGACCACTATATCATATACCTGCCATAGGAACGATCGGTCGAAAAGTAGGTTCTTGTATAAAAAACTTTATTGTTTATCAGGATATATTAACCATAATCAGCATTTACTATTTTCCCTATGCTTCTTAGATACGGGCAAAGCGTTATGAAAAGGTTGGGTCAGCAAGGGTATTAAATCTTCGTCTTGCTGGGGGGCACCCTTCTTTCTCGTTTTTGTTTGCGGTTAGATTTCGTTGTTTTCGCAACGCGAAAAAGTTTTAATTAACCCGGCGTTGCCGCAGCCAAGGCCTCTATTTTCAAGCTCAGCCTTTAATCAAGTATTGAGGAAATCAGTTTGTCCCAGGTAAACATCAACCTGAGCCCCTTTTGCATTTAAATTTACGCTTCAACTTGTTTTAGCTGTTGGCTTTGTGGCTTGCATTCAATTTATTTACTTTTAAGTGATTATATTTGTATATATGTTTTTTATCTGACAACAAGAACATTTCTCAACCCTGCCTAGAAATTCTATATTTATTGCAATATAAAAACTTTCATCTCATTGATTAAAGTATTTGTCAAGGCTTTCGCCTGTTATCCTGTAATACGCTCATTTTCCAAAGATTAAAATTATTTTAAGGGATTAAAGTATTTGCAGCTGCAATATATCCATTCAACACGCACATCTATAGATTTTTGTAATACCCGAGGCTTAAATCCTGTAAATATTCTCGTATATCTGTTGAAACTGTCGCCAATTATTCTTTCAATGAATTTTGTTTGCCTCAATCAATTCAGGCGAGTTTTCATGCGTTTTTTTCAGTTTTGTTTTATTTTCTTTTTTTTTTAACTAGCAGCTTTCACACCCTTTGAAAACGCGTACAACGAGTAGATTACTTCCATGGAAACGAAGGTAACGGACAATCAGAAGAGATTTGGATATATCCTGCTATATTCTTCTGCCTAACTGTCCGTCTGCATAAGCCCATAAATAAATATATATAATCTATTAAGCCTAGAAGATTTATCTGTCCGTGTATATAAACCCTCCGATCAGGACTTTAGCAGTTGAAGACTTTGAGCATAATTCATAGAACCTGTAAAACTAGAGTTTACATGAAATAGATAACGATATATTATTATTTTCCACTTATGCCGCTAGAAATACCCAATTTGGGAATATATATATATTTGATTAAGCCCAACCCATTAATCGGGACGTTGAGACTTAGTATAAACGATATCGTTATATAAAGGAATTTAGGATATCTTAGAGTATTTACTTAGAGTACTTTACTTCTTGGCATTCTCATAAGGAACGAGCCTTGCTCTTTATGAGAAAAAGAGAGAAAGATAGAAGCATAGTCGCTCTTTGTATGCAGACCAAACAGGTTATCTGCCACTCGAGCATTCGCTTCTTTAAATTGTATTTTTTATTTTAACGAGCAGTTTTTATACTTTCACGTGAATACATTTTGGTGAATGAACATAGCAGCATATATGTGTGTATGTGCGCGCGCGTATGTGTGTGTGTGTGTGTGCGTGTGTGCGTTTGTCCGTGTGTGTGTAAGTGCAGCTATCATTAAGACAACTGCATTAATAACGCACCTCTGCACCTGCACCTGCTGCTACTGCAATTGTTGTTGTTATTGTTGTTATTCTTCTTGTTGTTCTTGTTGTTGTTGTTCGTGTTGTTGTTGTTCTTGTTGTTATTGTTATTGTTGTTGTTGTTGTTACTGGTGCTGCCGTTTTATTGACAGCTTCCTGACCAATTATGGTGCAATTAACACACCTGATTGGTTAACATCTCTGACTCTGACTCGGTTAACTGCAGTACACACTCATGCACACATGCACACATGCACACATGCATGCATACACACGGCTAGTCCCACATACACACACTCTGCTGCTGCCTGCGCTCGTTTGCATGCTTTGGTTTTAACATTTCAAAGGTGCCTTTCAGCCCCAAGAACAACGCCCAACTTTGCCCAGCTGCTGTCTACTTAGAGCACAACAACAACGAGAATTGCAACATTTTTTCGTGCTTTCCACTGGAAAGTTCATTCCAACAACTTAGCCATAAAGCTATTTGCCAGCTGGCTGACATTCTGGCCAAAGGCGACTCGACTCTAAGCCAAAAATACTTAGTTAAAGCCGCCTTCTCCAATACTCCTCCGCCTTCTTCACGTAAAGTCAAGCCCACGCGACCAACTACAATTCATGAGAATCTCGTAGTAGGCACTTAGTTAGGAATACGTTTTTTTTTTAATTGGCAGCGCAGTTTGAGTCAAACTTGGTCTCACATATGCACATGCAAAATATATGCATACATTCTTGTAAATTTATAAAGGCAAATATAATGTATACATATAAATGCGTACGGACATACTTTGACGAAAATGATTGGTGGCACGTTTTGTTGATCTAAGATATAAGATATATAAGCACTTACTACAAATTGAATTCAAGTGCATTCGTAATGAAATTATGTCTTATTTATCACCTCACGCATGTAAATAAAAGATAACAAACATAACATAATAAATTAATCAAATAATGATAATATACCATTAATCCAAATTACTTTATTTGTACTCTGATTATAAATGGGTGCGTGTATATATAAGTACTTGTCTTTCTGTAAATGTGTGTGAGTATGTTTGTATGTGTGCGTGCATATGTATATGTATGTATATATGTATGTATGCATGTCTGCGTGCATGCCTGTATGTAAATATGTATGTATGTATGTATGTATGTATGTATGTATGTATGTATGTATGTATGTATGTTTGTATGTATGTATGTATGTATGTATGTATGTATGTATGTATGTATGTATGTATGTATGTATTATGAATGTATGTATGTATGTATGTATGTATGTATGAATGTATGTATGTATGTATGTATGTTTATATGTACGTATGTATGTATGTTTCTATATGTATATGTATGTCTGGATGTATACATATATGTATGTATGTATGTCTGCAATAATATATGTACGTATTTCTAACTAGGTCCCTTCTACGCGATTCTCATGAATTCAAGTAAGTCTCGTAGGCTTCACTTCAGGCAAAGGAGGCGGCGCTATATCTTAGGAGGAGGCGGCATCGACTAAGGGGAAGACGGCAGCTTTGATATTGGAGGAGGTGGCTTCAACTAAGCAGGGAGCGGCGCCTTCAGTATGAAAGGGTACGGCTGCATAAGCAGAGGAGGAGGCGGCGGCACCTTCAGCAATGGAGGAGGATGCGGCTTTAATAATGGAGGAGATGACTTTAATTAGGAAGGGTGCGACGGCTTCAGCTACGACTTCAACTATGGATATGCCTTCAACCATGGAGAAGGCTTCAGTCTGAGCAAAGAAGGAGGCGGCAGCTTGAAAATTGGAGGAGACAGTGGCTATGGCTTTGACGAAGGCCATTGAACAACAGGTACGTGTTCCAATCAAAACTATATCTTATTATATTTAAAATCAATCTAAGAACTATTTAAATATATTATTAATATTGTCCTGCTATGCGATTCTCACTAATTTAAGAAAGGTTTAACCAATATACCTTTGTTTTTCTGTTCTATCAGCACTTATTGATGACGATAAAATCATCGAGTAATTGAATTTACAGGTGAGTACGCAATCAAAAATATATTTTTATATATAACAATTTTGAAGATTCGATCTGCAACTATCCTTAAGTTGGCCATTATCCATCCGCTTGACTTCAAAACATTTTATAAAGACCTGTGTAAGATTCATATAAAACGACAAAGGTTTAGTGTATGCATGTTTGCTTTTCGGCTCCAAATTTTCAACCCAGGACCAAGTAGATTCCAACATTTGTTCCTATATTTTATGGACATTAAACTAGAAAAAATCCGCTAGTGTGATTTTTTATTTTTAACTTGATTCACGATAATACACAGTATGCAAGGGCGGAATATGTTTGGAAAACTTTAAAATTAAAATTTATTGAGGTTTTTAACCAAACGCCGGTTTTCCAATGTATATTAGTTATGTTGTGCATTTATATATTTATGTATGTTTGTGTGGGCTCATAAAACTTTTAATATATGAATATAGATCCCCTTCCCGAAATATCTCTACGTAGAACATATTGTTTAATCAAGTTACATTTTACCTGTCAAAGCATGGGAGCTAATGGGAGCTGTTCTTTAGCACATCTTTTTCACTGCCAAAAAGTTGAAGACCATTTTACTAGCAAAAAATAGCCGTCAAGGCCTTGAAGCACATTAAAGACTTGCGAATGAACTGCCAAGCCTCTGTACAATCAATAACCCGAATTGTCAGAAATGTCCAAAATGTCCGAAATGTCCTGTGTTCCAGCTTGTGTTTACTGACACTTGCTGTCCAATTTGATGAAATATCCTGTCTGGTTTAAGGAAATGACGTACACAGGCATTAAGTATGAGGACAATGGCCAAAACGAATGCTACAAGTTGTACTTTAAATACATAATTTATCAAAATCGCAGTCCGGAAAAAGGAACAGAGCCATGTCCCAGAGCTGGGACCTGGAGGGCAGAGGCTCTGTTTGGCCTGACGCATTATTTACGTGGCAAGGACTAATAAAATGAAATGGCAACTGGGGACAAGGACAATGAGACGCCGCCATCGCCTTATTATGTTGACATAGCATTCCGGGCTGGCGTTTGTATAATTGATTAGGTTTGGCTTTACTTATCGCTTGCCCAGACCCCAGACACGAGTCCCCTGAGTAGTATGTGGCTCGTTTCTAAATAATAATTTATGTGCTGTGTACAAAGACATTAATCTTTATTGGAACTCAAAAGTATATGCGAACCGCTGACAAGCTATTTGCTTGCCCAGCCAAAAGTACTATAAATAAAGCACTCGCCAAGCGACTTTCTCCCTTCTCACCAATTTCCAATATACCTATTGCTGGCCATAATCAATATAATTGTTAAGGAACGTTTAGGCCGTGGGGCCTTACCCAACATTTTATGTCCAACTTGTTTGCCTTACACCTCTTGACAATGGTCCAAATTGGGGTATCATAAAGTTATGCAAATTTATTTAAAGGACAAAAGGAAGCAGAACTCAATATTATATACCTAAAATAATATACCCAACATTATATATACCTAAAATTATATACCTAAGACTATACACCAAAACTTTTGGATAATTTTTACTTTAATTTTATATTTTAATTTTTATAATATAAATTTTCTTTTTTTATTATTTATTTACTTTTGCTTTATTTGGAACTCGAAGATTAAACGAGCTAAAAAATCGAGAATATTTCACTTTTTGGACACCGCCCATGTTTCCCCAAAATGTAAAGCAATTAAAAGGCATTTTTCTTGATAGTTTAATTCAAAACTATAAATAACACAAAATGTCAGAATATGGAAGCATTTTCCACAGTGGAAACCAAGAGAAAAAGTTCATTCGCATTGTGTATGTATTGACAGAAGTAATGGTATCTCCTAGTCGGTCATCGCCGACTAGAGAATTTAAATTTTTTTAAATATTTATCCAAGAGCGAAATAAGATACTTATGAGCTGGTCTTTCATTTAAATTGTTTCGTACTTATATTAAGTACATTTAATGCTGATGGATTGCTTTTGAGCCTTTTTTAGTTTAAGCCATATGTTTGTTTATGTGAATCCTAAACTTGACCTGTTTAATGGGGCCACGCACCTGGGTCAACAGTCTGGACGTTTACCAAATTTACCATATATGCAAATAAAGCGTGCCAATGGAATGGGGGGCGTGTCTGAGAATGTAAGGGGGCGGTTGTGGGTGGGCGATGAGTTTTCACCAAGCTGGCCAAAAGCCAGTCGAGTGTTGCGTTTAAGATACAATTCATTCGTTGAACGATTTGATTTATACGGTTAAACACGACAGTTGGGGTTTTTTTTTTAAGTTTTCATTATTGAGATAATATTAATTTGTTGTGTGTGGATCGGATAGCTTGCTCATGAAAATGGAAAGTAAAAGAAATCTGTGCGCTGTTAACATGCATGCCTTAACATGAAAAAGCATTAAATATTTACTTAACCATATTTATGTATACGTGAGGAAGAGGGAGGGGGGGCTAGTCTCCTGGTGTTAACAACCTCAGCCTAAGCTAATGATCATTGTGAATGTATTCGCTGTCTCGCTCTATGTAATTAGTTCGCAAACAATTTGCTAGATGGAAAGTGAGCGCCGTCTGTTTTGTCAACCTGCCCGCGCTTTATTGAAGACTTAACCCCATTAGCGGGAATTGGCGCACTTGCCGATCAGAGCAGCAGGTAACTGGCAAGGGCAGCGGGCGGCGGGCAGCAGGCAGCGGGCGGCGGTAACACAAAGAAACAAACTTTCTGCGGCATGCCAAAGAACGGCGAGGCGAAAACTTTTACCCAGCCCAAAAGACGCACAAAACTCATTCACGAAGCTGTATAGCTAAAGAAAGAGATGTCAGAGAGAGAGAGAGAGCGGGAGAGCAAGAACCAGAGGCTTGTGGTCATCTTGGGAATTTTTAGTACTCTGCTTTTAGTACCAATGCAAAGAAAAACCTGTTTCAGAGCAGACAGCAGCCGCACAGTCGCAGCAGCAGCAGCAGCCGTGGCCAGCGCCAGCGCCAGTTGCTGCGCGACGCTCAAGTGGAGCACAAGACGTACAAAGCACAGTCGAAAAGAAGCAGCCGTCGCGAATTGAAACGGGACGCGACGTCAAAGTCGAAGTCGAATTCGAAGCCGAAGCCGCTGCCCATGCGCAGTCAGTTGTAGTTGTAGTTGTTATTGTGTACTTGTTGCTGTGCAACGCTAGTGCGCAGCTTAATTATTGCCCCAGCTTCAGCACCAGCACCAGCAGCTCCCGCGCTGTTGTTCCCGTTCCCCCAGTTGGCAAAGTTTACTTGTTTGTCTGCATTTTTCCCGCACTTGTATAAGTACAAGCACACAGATATACACACACAGTGTGCGCTGTAATATATTTGTTACCAACTGTCTGTGTGTGTGCGCGCTTTTCCCTGGGAAAATATTCTTGACGTTTTGCGCTTTCTTTTTGTGTGTGTGTACTATAACAAAAACACAAATGTAAACAAGCCACGATAATACAACAACAACTAAACTTCGTCGGTTATTACGGTGCTTTGTGCAATCGGCGAAAAAAAAAGAATCGAGTCAAAAAATTTCCCAAGCAAAAACAACAACAACAACGACAGTGACGTGCAATTTCCCAAACAGCCGACACAATCAAAAAAAGTAAGCCAAAATATAAATCAGAAGAGAAACAAGTTACAAACCAAACACAAAACACAAAAAAAAATCGTAAACCGCAGTTTGTGATTAACATATTTCCCATCAAAAAGTCTCTGTTTTTAATAGCCATGTGCATGCATGTGTGTGCGAGTGTGTGTGTGTAAAACAAGAAGTGGACGCAGTCGCACAGCGGACCATGTAGCTCAACGAGACCTTGAAGCTGTCTCTGCCAGTTCAGGTCGCGTTTTGGAGCAGCTTTTGGTATCGAATCGATTCCCATCATGCATTTCAATGAGTAAAAGGGGCACTGCGATTAAATGGTTGGGAAATTTATATGAAATGCAACCTGCGATGTTGTTTTATAGGCAATATAAATTTACATACAAAAATTTACGAAAGATCTCTGGCCCGCTATTTCGACAACTGACCAAATAACGTTTTGCATGACTATGGACCGTAGAGCAATAGCAAACACACTCACCCATACGTGCAAACATTCCTATGTGTGTTGTATAAACACACACACATATGTATGTACATGGTTATTACGCTCAAAGTTTTTGGTGTCGATGCGCAATCCACCAGTCCAATCCAACGGTACATCAAATGCTTGAGAAAAATAATCAAGAATATGATGCATAGCTGCCCCACACATCCGTATGCATGTGTGTGAGTGTGTGTGTGTATGTAGAACAAACTGGGTACTTTCTGAAAGTGTATAAACGTATATTTAAGTATAGAAGTAATTAGCACGTCAATGTCTTTATAGAATTTACTTTGTTTGCGTAGATTCATAATCAATTTTCGGTGCTCTTCGGTTTTTTACACATCTTAGTTTTCACACTTTTTAATACGTAAATTTAACATTGAACAATTTCTTCTAAAACATTTTTTTTGTTCAAATAACGGTGCTTACAGAGTTGTATTTTGGCAAAGTGTGACTATAGCAAAACTAATATTAAAATACCAACTTCATATTAAAAACAGCTAAAACGTAGATACTTAAATAACCTGCGCAATTCTATGGACGGATACTATGTATTTTTGATTGATTGATTGATCTGTGCAAGTGCTAAATAATATTTTTTTAAATATTTTGATGAAATTTTTATTTAATTTAAACCTTAGATTCATAAGGCGAGGTTCAATGTTTGCGAATAACCAAGTTTTGATACTAATAGAGATAGATGTAGTTTTGGTAGACCGATTTAAAAAAAAACAACTTAATTTTGTCAGGACAAGCAGAAAATGTTTCCACTCCTCTTCTTTTATTTAAAAAACAACTTTGATATATAATATACCAGTTAGTAATGCCGCATTCTTGGCCCAATGTGTAGGTAGCTGGCCTTAACTTGTTGTTGGCTTTATTGATTATGGAGCTGGAGAGCTTGGCCGAGTCTCAACAACGAGAACAAGAAAACTCAACTTGTTTAAATATGCGGTTTTTCGACAATAACAAAAAAAGTCTCCAATGTTATTCAAATTAAATGTGCTGGCCGGGTCCGAAGATTAAAAGAGGAAATGACCAAATACAGTGGGGCTGCGGCTTGTGGCTCGAACCTGAATAAATGCTCAATCCAAGCACATAATTAGCGCTATGCTCTTATACCCGTGTAACCATTGAGTAACTAAGAAGGTATAAAGGTATTATAAATCAAGCAGAAAATTTACACTTTTCGCTAAACACCAAAAAGGTGCGTAAGCTTTCTCGTATAATATGCACAGATCCCAAATATTTGACCTCTTGGAGACCTCCACCATTTTCATAATTTAGTAGGTTATCGACTTAAGCTTTGTATTTACATACATTTTATTGCCATATTTATGCCCTGAATATCGGCCGATGAATTCGGAATTCGGAAATTGTCGGAACCAACCTATCATATAGCTGACATAGGCATGATCGGTCGAAAATGAAGTTGTTGTATGAAAAACTTTTTTGTTTATCAAGATATATTGACCAAACTTGGAATTTATTATTTTTACCATGCTTCCTACATTTATACAAAGTCTTTTTTACATCGGACTACTATTTCATATAGCTGCAATAGAAGCGATTGTTTGCAAAGTTAAGTGTTCTATAGAAAAGTTTTTGTTTATCAAGATATCTTGACCAACCTTGGATTTATTATTTTTGCTAAGCTCCTCATATACAGATATATCCTCTCAACATCGGACGACTATATCATATAGCTGCCATAGGAACGATCGGTCAATAAGTAGTTACTTGTATAAAAACTTTTTGTTCCTCAAGATATCTTAACCATACTCGGCATTAACTTTTTTCACTGGGCTGAAAAGGTTAGCTCTTTCTCTTGTTTTATATGTGTGAATAGAAGAAAGTGCGACTGTTTGTGATTGGGCAAAGGGTATCTACCCATTACGGCCGACTGGAGCGCTCTTGCTCCAAACTAGTTTTTTGCGTTGGTAATAGGTGTTACTAAATGGAAAATCAATCTTTAGCTGCAGCGAAAATGGAAACGTGGAAACAGCTGCTGTTGCTTTTTGAGCTTCTGTGCTGCTTGAACCGACGCAGCGAGGCCTGGCGGCCATGTCCGGAGCTAAGTCCCGCCTTGCGATTGCCATGCAGGTGAGTGAAAAAAAATAACTGACAGACAGACGGACGGACGGACGGAACAAGAGACGGATGAGAGACGGTCGGCAAATTTCCGCTTGTTGTTATTTTAATATCTGCAATTTGTGAGCTGGCTTTGTTTGTGTTCAATCATTTGCGATTGACGACAATTACTTTTACAATTACAACAATTACATATGCAATGTGGTGCCTTTTGCGGCAACTGGTCAGCTCGGCGCGGTTGCATGGACTGGCGATCGGGTTGTCTTCCACGGCGAATTGCGCCGCAGCTGCCGTACGGTGCGCCCATCGTGGCGTATACGCAACGGCACAGCGGACAGCAAACGTTGCCAGCACAGGTGAGTTAACTCCATCTTATCCCAACGGAAGTCAATGACCCAGTCTTTGCAGACATTTGGTCAGCTGAAGCTGCCCATCGAAGAGCCTGGACCTGTCCAACAACTTGATACGTCGCATACCGGAGAAGGCCTTCGACGGCTTGAAGGATGCGCTGAACGAACTGCGTTTGGCCAACAATTTGTTGGGCGATAATCTGAATCCCATATTTTCGACGGCGGGAGCTACACGCTCTCAAAAACCTGCGCCTACTGGACCTGTCCGGCAAACAAGATCAAGCTGATTGAGGAGGGTGTGCTCAAGGGCCCTGCAATCGATCCTGAAGGAGTCTCTTCATGGATCGCAACAGAATGACGGCGGTCCCAATCAATTCGCTCAACGGACCCAGCGCCTTGAAGCATCTCTCCTTGCGACAGAATCATATAGGTAAATCATATATAAGAAAATATTTCCTACATTTGCATCATTGGATTGGAAAGGGTCACGAGAAACCATGAAGCAAGTTTGGTGACCACCTTCGAGTTGTGCTCTAAAAACCATGTGAAAAAATCAGTATCAAACAAAAATGAGTGGGTATGTCGAGATATAGACAGACGGCGGACTTGGCCAGTTGGTCGACCTGAGTTGGTCGACCTGAATTCGGAGATACTTCCTTTTGCCTGTTACCCGTTTTCAATGTCTTCAGGGCCTACAATCAAAGCACAGTCAGTTGAACTAATCCCCTTGCTGTTTCCCAGCTACGCTCCAGCGCGATTCCTTCAGCGCCCAGGCCCAGCTGGAGATAATCGATCTGCGCTACAACATTTTGCGCAGCATTGACAGCCAGGCTTTTCATGGACTGCGCAAGTTACGGGAAATCAAGTTGGCCGGCAATCGGTTGACTAATCTCAACAGCGATGTCTTCGAGCAGCTGCACACGCTTCAGAAGCTGGATCTTTCCGAAAACTTCTTCAGCCAGTTTCCAACCGTGTCGCTCGCCGCAATCGCAGGCCTCAAAGCGCTCAACGTAAGCGCCAACATGCTGCAGGTAAGAAAGATTTTCTCCTGATTCGATTTGATTATTAATAAGTGGTGTACTCGCTAGCAACTGGACTACACCCACATGCAGGTGGTGAGGTCTCTGGAGAGCCTGGACCTGAGCCGCAACAGCATAACCAGCATTCCGCCGGGCACATTCCGCGATCAGAGCGCACTCAAGTATCTGGATCTGAGTCTCAACTCGCTGCGCACGTGCGTATATATTGGAAAGTAAAAGGAAGAATTAACTAATTACCTTCCTTTTCTCCAGATCGAGGACGACGCCCTGGAGGGTCTGGAGAGCCTGCAGACCCTGATAATTCGGGATAACAATATCCTGCTCGTGCCGGGTAGCGCTCTGGGCCGTCTGCCGCAGCTCAGCTCAGCTCGCTGCAAATGGACTACAATCGCGTCGCAGCGCTCTCTGCCGAAATTCTGGGCTCAGTGCAGGCTGGCGACATTACGACCTTGTCCCTGTCACGGAACGTCATACGGGAACTACCGCCCGGCAGCTTTCAAATGTTCAGCAGTCTGCACACACTCGATTTGTCGGGAAATTCTTTGGTGCTGGTCAATGCGGAGACCTTTGCGGGCCTGGAGGGCACCTTAATGCAGCTGCGGCTGGCGCAGAACAAGCTCAGCGGGCTGGGCAACGCGCCGCTGGCGCTGCCCGAGCTGCGTGGCCTGGACCTGAGCGGCAACGGCCTCGGCGAGCTGGCGGCCAACATCTTCGAGGACCTGGAGAATCTGCAGGCTCTGAATTTGAGCGGCAACCATTTGTCGCCGTCGTT